CATAAAGTGCTTTTTCCCTGTGTGAGGAGCATAATTAATGTTATGTTTGCTTAAAGAAATATAAAAATAATCAATTTTTGTTTAAATGGCAGAAAAAAATGTCAGTTTGATCATCAGTAAGAAAAAATCACAGCTAAAACGTTTTAATTACTTTATATAAAATTCAGCATGGTTTTATTGGCAGGTGACTTCACTACCTATATCTATGTTTACAGAGAGGTGTGAACAATAATACAACAATAAAAATCTATTGGTTCTTTCAGTCCTAAAATAAGCCTTTTCATATAATAAACCCACAGAACTAAAGCTAAAATAGAAATTACAAATGAAGGGCAGCGCCCCTGCTGGTGAACAATTCACTGACATCCAGTAGACTATAAATCTTTTTCTTAATAATTTAAACATTTTACATTGTTTTTGTAACAAGAGTAAAAATAAATCAAATACATACCCTGTTGCTACAACAGCGAAGGCCGCCTTGGCTCGGTCATAGAATTCAAACCTTTCCACCAACTCCAAATCAGCCTAGAAACAATCAAAAATTAAACAAACAAAGTCAGAGACTTTCTGTGCAACTATCTATATATTTTTCAATATTAAAAAACAGTTATACATTAGATCCACTTTTAGACAAGAGATTAGAGTAGACGTCCCACACAGGAACAGGTAAATTTCTTAGTTTGTCAGCATCTACTCGATCCATGACAGCAGCCTGTTACACCAAGAGAAACACACATTTTTATTGTTAATTTTACTGAAGCAATGAAACTTATAATGAGGTACTTTGTGTTACTCTGACAAAGAAAATGCCAGTGAGGTCCAATACCGGAGAGGTGACATAGGTGTCCAGAGGAAACAGCTTCAAAATGGCCTCCAAAAGTTGCGGTATTCCCAAGCCTGCGTGAAGAAAAGACAAAGTATAATGACCACCAAACCTTGGGGAGAAACTTCTAAAACTAAAAGATTTACTCTTAATAACTTCAATAAAATACACCAAAAGACCTGGGAGTTCACAGAATATAAACATACAAACAACAAATAGCAACATGTTAGCATGAAGGCTATATAAAAAACAAGACAAATAAAATTAGCCAGTACAACAAAAGGTTGGCTAGAAGTAGTCTAGTAAAAGCCAGAAGTAGGCCAAAAGTAGGGTAAAAGATTAGCACTGGTTAGCAGAATACTGGCTTAGACATAGAACCAGGAAAGGGATAATTAGTAAGAAAAAATAACAATAACAAACAAATCGCCTACTGGGTAGTTATTTTAATAGTCTACTGTGTGTAGCTATTTTAAATAGCTTATAAAAAAATTCTAAATAAAGAACAATATCTTCACTGTCTTGTGTACGTTCATACCATCAGCTCTAATCTCTTTTGGTCCACAAGCACAAACCGATGATGTTGGAAAATTAACGTCAGCCAGAACTAAAAGCAGAGGAGAAGTCAGTCAGACTTTACTCGGGTGTTGTGACAAGAAGTGAAAGGAGCTATTTTTGCTTTAAATAAACTTTAAATAATAGTAATCACTTATCGTACCCAGTTCATCACCGTGTCCCATTTTAGCCAGAGCATAAAGCAGCTCAGGTGACAGAATAGCTGGGATTCCTTTCAGGACCACCATTCTGCCGGAACACCGCACTCTCTTGCAGAGACACAGACACTTCCGGTTTGGAATAACAAGTCGAGGAAGCAGAATTAGTTCTAATACGTAACCGCAAGGGGGCGGGAATGCTGATTTACAAAGTGAAGCAACTTCATATTTACAGATAAATACAGATTTTTTTTTAATCAATTACTTTATAAGTCAACGAAATTAGAATTATTTGAATAAAAAGGGCATGTAGAAATGTGTATGAATAGTCTAATACATTCTACAATGTATTTACCTAATATAAGGACCCTTCAGGCAGATACAGTGAAGAGGTATGAAAGGTTTTTAGTAAACAGGCCTGGGAAAGGGAGGGGTGGTCAGAGGAGCCTTTGTTTGACAATCAGCATCTCACTGTTACACACCACTAACTCTTACACACAGGACCTTTACGAGGCATTGGCTGAAAAAGCCCCCAGTTACCCATCTTTATAAGTGATAAAATACAGCGTTGTTGTACAAAGGGCTGCAGAGTCGGTTAATCTTGGCTCGGTGTTATTTCTAACACCCTTGGGTGGGTATAACTCAAAGCAGACATGGGTTGAATGTGCTGTGGTCCCCGGTGCCAAGAATGTGAGATAATGAAAATATTTGTAGAATCATGAAAACCCCTCCACCCAACCTGAGCAGCTCTCAGCTGGATATTGGAAAAAGGTTGAGGAATCCACATTGTGATCATGAGAAGGGAGCAGGAAAAAAGGAATATTCAGACAAAAGTCAAGGAAGTTTAGCCCCGAATAATCCTGGGGTTGATGACGCCTTTTTAATTGTAAATAAAAGACAACTAAAATAATACTGGTCCTTTGCTGTTTCCTGCTAATTATTAATGACAAAATTACAGAGAAGCCCTCTGCTACAGAGGTCTGGTGTACAAGAGTTCCAGGAGGTAAAAGCGGGTGAAAGTACAGAAGGCAGTGTGGTTTCCAAAAAGGAATCATGGGAGTCTGCTCAGCAGGAGCAAGAGAAAAGGCCAAAGCAGGAGCCAGGTCTGTCTACTGAAGTGAAAGGCCTTTTCTCTCTCCTCTGGAACCATGCTGCTCTGCCTTTATCTCAGCTTCTTTAAATGAGTTTATCACGCTATGAGGGTCTGCGCTGCCAAAATGTAACGTTTTGCCTCTTTTGTCTGTAAAGAGAGCCTCAATTGAGTCTACATTTATTATTTTGACCTTTTGGTAGCCTCAGAACGGAGCTGCTTTTCTGAGGCTCTCTGCAGACTTTTGTGCTGCCCCACAGACTGGGGGACAAGTTGTTTTTTCTCCTCCTTTTAAAGTTTTGCACCAGGGAGCTACAAGAAAGCAAGCTCCAGGGGAATATTGAAAGAAAATAAAAATCAATTAGGCCATGGCCTTGAGAGGATATGGGGCGCCGCTGAGTGAAGATCAGACAGAAGAAAAGGTGCTTTACGATGATTGGAGCGGCAGAAGAAAACACACACTAACCAAATTTGTTCTGGGGTTTCCTTTTAGGTCACAATTATAGAGTAATACTTCTGAAAACATTAATGACGGTAACTGATACACACAAATCACACGTATTTCTTGGTCCCTCAATGCTATAAAATAGTTTCCACACATGTTCTTGTATTTCTGTAATATTGAATTTAAGTCCATGTTGTTTGATACCTGCTATGTAAAAAAAACAAACTCAAATTTTATAACACGACTTCACTCCAAGTCATGATATAAACCCCCACGTATTAGAAGAAATAAACTTATCTACATTCCTCAGCGCTTGTTGCAGGTCCAACGCTGCTTTTGAACAAGGCTTTAACTACACAAAAGCTCCATCTAGTGGTGAGAAGTTATAAATGCTGGCAATAAGTTTAAAAATGAAATATGCATTATTCCAGAGTATTTTGTTTAATAACAAGTCACGCGCTACGTTGTATAAACTGACCATTATTTACTTCTGACTATTTCAAATCAAAGAACCCTGGATTTGTTTCATATTAAGATCGGCCAAATCAAGTGAATTATCACACAAGTGTATGTGACCAACTTTACATTATATAGAGGTAATGTAATCGTGTACCTACAGTTTTACATAACATAACCGAGATACCCAAAGATGCCGAAGATATTACAGTAAAGCCCAGCTCACATCAATGTGTTACATGCTGTACACTCTAGTGTTTTATTTGTAAAAAGAAAAAAAAATACTATAAAGGTAGACACACAATTGAAAGTCAAAACGATAAAAGGCAAAGTCAAGCATTCGAGACTTCTCACACTGATTTCCCACAAAGACACAATCATTCACCATTTCTCAGGCTGGTTTTCACACCAAGCGTTAGCATTCAAGAGTTTCTCTGTGATAACCCTCCTTTGTACGCAATCACCTATTGTTGTTTCCTGGTCTGAACAACTTGCATGTTCCACTATCTTCAAGGCATTTTTCTGCATAAAATATTTGGGCCGGGTATTAACTCTAACTGTCTGTAAAATTGGCCTTTCTCTTCTCCACAAATGCTGTCATGCCTTCTTTACGATCCTCCTGCAGGGAAGCAAACACACACACACAATCCAAATTTAAACTTGTAACATTTATTTTTTTCAATATTTTAAATCAGAAAAGTTCTTCCACTCACCGTAGCAAAGGTAGAGTGGAACAAGCGTTTCTCCAAACGATTGCCCTCAGCCAAGGTTAGCTCAAAAGCTGCAGTCACACAAGGAAACAATTGACATAAAAATAAAACCTTTTATAAGGTTTTGTTAGCTTTAGTCTTTAAAACAGGCTTGACTCACCGGCGTTAACAGCCTCTTTAGCCATAGCAGAAACCAGTTTAGAGTTAGAAGCAATTTTTTCTCCACACTTCACAGCTTCGGACACCAGCTGATCCACAGGGAAAATTTTACTCACCAGTCCTGAGGAATAAGCGTATTACACAATATCTGTTAGCTCTATTTGTTTTGCAAATATTTGTTTTGACACATTTTGGTAGCATTTTATTCAAGTTCCAACAGAAGAAACACCCATCATTCATTTTGTACATGTCAAGTGGTAATTAATCACCTGATTGCTTGGCTTCTTGAGCACTAACCCTGTCTCCTGTAAGTACCATTTCCATAGCCAGGGATTTGCCTACAGCACGAGTCAGGCGCTGGGTACCACCGGCCCCTGCACGGAGATAGATTAGATGAATATGCCCTCCGAAGCAAGACGTTGATGATCTAAGGTGAAAGATAGACCCGAATGAATAAAGAGGGGCTAAACAAAGAAATCTTACCAGGAATTGTCCCCAACAGGATCTCTGGTTGTCCAAACTGAGCTTTCTCTCCAGCGTAGATGATGTCACACATCATGGCTAGCTCACAGCCTCCACCCAGCTGAAAAAAAAACAGAGGTTCTAGGTTATACCTGTTTAATTGTTTTCTTTTCTTTCATTAAAAAAAAATATATAAAAACAAGGAATCCTCACAGCAAATCCATTGACAGCTGCAATGACAGGCTTCTTGACTGTGGACACTCTGTTCCAATGTGCCAGAAAGTTCCCACCGTAACACTCTTGGAAGGTTCTATTCTGCATCTCTTTAATATCTGCTCCAGCTAAAACACAAAAAGTATCAAATGTAAAACAAACATACACGTACAGTGGTTACCAGACATTCTCTGTGGGCACAACAATTAGGTTAAATACTGTGTAAAACAACGTGGGGTTTTTTTTCTCACCAGCAAATGCTCTGTCACTGCCTGTGATGACAATGGCTCCAACGTTGTTATCTGCTTCAAAAGAGTCCAGAGCCTGTCCCACCTCCCTCATCAGCCCATCACACAGAGCATTCAGAGCCTTAGGCCGGTTCAGTTGAATGAAGCCTACGTTGTTCTGCTCACCCCGCTTTTCCACCAAGATATGCTCATAACGACCACCTATATGAATTTGAATCAAAAATTGACAAGCACCATCACAAAGTAGAAATCAACCATAACAGTAAACTGAAGCCGCTCATGGACCAAGCAATTCAAACTGCGTTAATGGCACCCCCTGTTGGGAAGCGAAGGAAAACGTTGTTTTTGCAAAAACAATTAATTAACATTAATAACGGCAGTAAAAGAATAAACAACATATTCCACGAATCAACTTAACGTCATTTCGTACAATGTCTATGTGTTTGGTTAAAAATGCAATGAAATTAAAATTTCATGTGAAACACACACAGAAATCGAGTCAGGATGCAAAATAACTATAATTACCAATAAAGATTACTGGACTTATATGAACAGGACTTTTAAAAATGTAACACCAGTTTAAAATGTTAAGACGTTCGTCCTGCACATGCGTCACTCAGTCAACGGCCCGTGCTTCTTGACATTGTAGCAGCAGCAGCAGAAGCTATGCTCCGTTCAAAACACTTACCGGTGCAGTACAGCCGGGCGGTGGACAGAACAGCCGGTGCTGTGGTGCTGGATCTCAGCAGCAACGCTGCTCTTCTGCAGAGGAACGACATGGCAGAAACAGTGCAGTTGTTGCTGTTGTGTCAGAGAACTTACTCCTTCAGTGGATCGTGCGGCTGTTTCCGCCTTTCTTCGTCTCATTTAATTGTAGAGCGAACTCCATAACGTTGCATTGCTGCCACCTATCGGCTCTACTAAACAAGTGTCTGAATTTCATGGTTCACCTCCCTCCTTTGTAGTTTTGATTTGTGACTTATTGGCGAATCTTAACCACGCTCATGCGTGATAAAAAGAAATATACAAATCCTGTAATGCATTTAACAATTTTCTGAAATAAAACCCAAATTTGAAATGTAAACATTTTACATTGATATATCTACGCAACAAATAAAAGCAGGGATTTATATAAAAATAATAACAAGAAAAACATCAATAATAATATTATGCTATAAATACTTATAGCGTTATACAACAACAATAATAATGTGCTATAAATACATAAACCGTTGTTATTTTGTCCGAATCCCACGGCTGCGCGTTCTCGATTCCGTTCACATGAACGAGCCCTCATCCATCCTTCGTCTCATCTGCCTAGTGTGTCCTCTTTTCCCCTCCTGTGTGAAAACACGAACAAGGATAAAACCTCAGGTTATAAAAGGTAATGTTTAAGGTCTGGTCGTTGAATAGATAACATGTGTGCCTGTTTCTGTGGGAACGTGACGTTTCTTCAGGCGACAGTAAAGCAGCGCAGGAGCTAATTTATAAGGATGCGTTCGGATGGAATTAATGCGTTTGCGTTGTTTACACGTCCGTCAAAAGCCAATTTGCTGCGACACAATTTACAATAACCTGACTTCATTTACCCGATGGTTTTGATTTCTGCAAGACGGTAACAGAGGGTGTGTAGCGCTGTGTTATCATTCACAAACAGGCCAGGTTTTTTTCTTTTATTATAACTGTTACCGGTGTTGTATTGTATTGTTAAAACAATTATTTTTTATTATAGAAGTTTAGAGATAAAACAAGTGACGTATGGATATAAAATGTTGACCTAATCTGTTCAATTAAATAACTAAATTACAGTAACGATGACAGAACTATTAACCTTAATTTTTTACTTTTACACATTTGCTGTGAATACTGTTTTTTATCGGTTGCATTTGAGAAATGGCGCACAGATTTCATATGAAGACAATTTGTGCTTAGGTTTTATGAATACAAAATGCAGAGATTCGTAGGACAAATGAAAGGACGTCACATGAGCAAGTCAGGGCAGCTACGTTTAGTCCTTCTATGCTAGTACTGTCCTGGTTCCTGGCTGGGTTCTCAGGTTCTGTTTGGAACATCTATGTTGCATGCGAGCCAACTTGTATTTGCTCCCGTTAGGCAACACTGTGGATTTTCCGCCCACCCTCATCTGCATTAAAGTCGTCTAATGCTCCAGTAGCAGCTAACGTTGTCTTGTTCTGCTTTCAGCAATGTCCTCATATTAGACGAGATCATCAACTCAGTGTTTGAATGTGGGCTCTCCACCGCCAAAATGCGCGTTTGATGGTGCTTTCAACTAGTATTTTCCCAGGAGCAAAGAGTCAGTAGTAGGAAGTGGCAGACCAAATTCTGAGATCCTAATTTTGTGAAAAACAAAATCTGTTTGTGAGTAAATATACATTTATGGATTTTAGGCAGATCACTAGCGTAGTCAATTATGACAGAAAATAATTGAGAACCACTGTCCCAATGTCATTTTTAAAACTGATTGACCATCTTTGTTTCTCCTAAGACAGTGTCAGGAATGAACCAGATGGTTGCAACATGCTGGACCTGCATTCTGCTCTCTGCTCTCCTGTGTGAACCCATACTGGCCAAAGGCGGTCGTGGAGGGTCCCGTGGCTCCTCCAGAGGATCGCCGTCTCGCAGCACCACGTCAGGGAGTTACCGGGGCGGGGGTGCCTACGGTGGGACTCGTTCTCGCTTCAGAGTGGCGGGGCGATCCTCTCCGGTGAAGGTGGCCAGTGCGGCAGCAGCAGGAGCAGCGGTGGCTCTGAGTGCAGATAAATGGTACGCCTCTGCCTACCGTCGCAGCAACACAGGAGGCTCAGAGGAAGAGTTGGATTATTACAACAGGACCAATTACTTTGATGCACAGATGTCACACTCCGTTCAGATACAACCCTTTTCGCAGCTGGTTGTTGTAATCACGTCAACATTTTTACCCATATATGGACTCCTCCTCGACTTTATACCAGAAATGTTCAAGTGATTTATTTAAAAAAAGTCTCTCCTGGATCTGACTGGACCTGCACAGGACACACCAGCAGGAGAAGTGAAAACTACCCCAGTGATCAAGGACATTTAACAAAAATATCACTGTACTGTATGTTTTTACACGTGAAATCATTTGCACCAACAATCACATGTACATTACCAGATCACCTTTATAGCAATTTCAGTATAAATGAGCCTGGAGCCAAACTCAAGAAAAACCCAATTTTCTTGCCAATTTTTTTTACATTACATGTACTAAAAAAACATAAGCCAGCAGTTTTTTATAAATATCCAGGACTCACCCATGTTTTCTTTAAAGATTAGAAAATATGGTTCACCACATCACACATTTCGTCATGGCAGCAATTCAATGCTAACAGGACCATGGGGTAAAGCCAAAATTCTTGTCCCAAGCATCTCTCCACCTACTGTGTAATTTATATCTTTGTAATGATACACGTGTTGATGTTGCCAATTATTTTAGTCTGAAAATGCTGTGTTCACTGTTCCACAGAACTGTAGAGGTTTTTACAGCCTCTCCATCATCCAAAAAAGCTCTTACCTGCATAAACTCTCAGGAGCAAAAGACTGTTCCATTTCTGTAAGTGCACTCTTAACTTATGCTACTACTTAATAAGATTTGTTACCACTGTCTTTATGATAATAAATAATTCAGTTTACACCAAGTTACTGGCACAATTGTTTTAAATAATCTTAGTTTCATTTTAGGTTATTTACAAAAGACGAAACGAAGTAGGAAAAAATGGGATGAGGACAAAACATTGTCTGATTTCATTTAGTGTGGGTCTCATAAATGATGGGAATTATCCTTAGGTGTTGTGTAGATTTGAAGGTTGGTGTCAGTCCAGCATCACCTGTCCAAGCTCTCCTTTCCTGAAACATCTTATGAAGTCGTACGCTGCAGATGTGAAGTCAGGGACAGTGACAGTAATGTTCCCTAGTGGAGATGAAGAACAAACACTTGTCATAACAGAACCTCCTATAAATTCCTGTTAATGCTATTGTAAAACCAATACCATCTAGATTTGGACAGATTAGGTTCTAATTCCTGTTGTTTCTGAGGAAAGAAAAAACATAGATCATTTGTTACTTCTTACCAATGCCAGTGATGGCTTTGACTCTCTTGGTCTTTCCTATTTTGACAGCAATATGTTTGAGGACTTTTTGGATGTCATCACAAGGCCCTTGAAGTTCATATTTCTCCACATAACTGTACAAGACAGAACAAAACAAGGAACAATGAAATCAAATTGATCAACTGAAACCTGAATTCATCACAATGAAAGATAAAAAAAAACACACCTGAACTTCTGCAGCCTGTTTAAAGAGTACAACAAGTAGTCAGCAATAATGTCTTCACCCACTAGATGGTCCAGTATAGTTCCTGGAGTTGGAATCAGGAAAATTTAAAGGATGATTAAAAAAAAACCCCAACAACAACAAATAATTTTTTTTCGATGTTTGTATTTCAAACTTGTGTGTTCGACTAACCACATAATGCCAGCTTTAGGCCTGTTTCTATATTCTCTATCTTTGGATTCAGGACTCCAGGTGTGTCCAGAAGGTAGATTATCGGTCGCTCACAAACCTGAAAAAGTTGCAATGTGTCTGAATAAGAATGCACAAGCCACAATAAAAAGAAGAAAAAAAAATTCAGGACTCACCTGTATCTTAGTCAACACTGCTTTAGTGATACCAGGCTCTCCACCAACTCTGGATGCACGACCTGAAGCATAAATACATCACTGTAAATATCTTTCTAAACCAATGTCCAACAACGATGAGCTCCTTAAATATTCATACCCTTCTTTAAGTTTGTTCTTCTTAATGCGTTGATCAGAGACGACTTCCCAACATTTGGCACTCCAATGACCATGACGCAATAGTTTGTAATCTGAAATATTTTAAAAGTAAAAATGACAAACTAACAGTTCTCTGATTCATTTAATCTGAATATACGAGAATGATTTCTTATATGCTTTGCACTTTAATTTTATGCAGCAATAAAAGGAAATTATGTTCAAGGTTGGTCAACAATAGTTTTCCAGTGACAGATTTCAGTGTAAAATGTTCTTAAACTGTTTCAGTCAGTGAGAATGGACCTAAGGTTTTACTGAAAACCTTTCTGATCAACTCTAACCAATGAGACTTGTTCAAATCTGAATCTGAAATAAGCCAACAGGTAAAACTATGTGCTGCCTTATAATGTGTGATGTTTCTCAAGGTTGAATTCAGCGATTCTGCATTGTGACATTGTGAACATTAAACAGACCTCATCTCTGTTAAACCGCTCTGTGTTGCCAATGACATCCATCACTGTTGGCACCAACTACAGACCAAAAAGAAAAAAAAAGGAAAATAAAAGCAGCACCTCCTAACAGGGTTTGTTTTTGACGTTAGTTATTGGGATGCAAAAAAAGACACTAACATTGTTGATGCTGTCATCTCTCTGCTTCAAACAGTCTGTGAAGAGAACATTCTTCACCCCGTCTCTTTGTAACTTCTGGAGGATACGCTGAATTGTAAACAGAATTATTTCCAGAAGAATGCCAATGATGCTGTGCAGTTGTTCAGCTACAGTGAGAGTATCTCACCTTCTTTCTGGAAAGATCAGCGAGGTCCATCTTGTTGAGAATTAACACATGTGGCCGGACATCCAGAGTCTCCTGAAACAAGGGGTTTCTTCCAGAGAATGGGATTTGCGTATTGTTAAGAACAAACCAGTGAGTAAACAGGCAGAGGTGAAAGTAATAATTTTACTAGAAGTGTAGCTGGATGCACAAGGACATTGTGTCAAGACTGAATTTGGATGGGAGATGAGCTGCTATAACAAGAAGCAGCACAAAGACAAAGAACTACATCTAAACACCTGTTATTTGTACAATGAAATATTGTGTTGTTAGGTTTTAAGAATAATAAAGGATATTCTGGCATCGTGGATTTCTATGATGCAGTCAACGTTCCTTAGGTTGGACCTCATCTGTTTAATTCCTATAAATAGTAGTTGGAAAATGTTTAGGAGGCGACATAAACGTAAAAGTTCATCCTGCCAAACACACAACTTTAGCTAGCTTTTCACCTTTAGCCATGTGTCCGGGAAACCAGTGAGCAACATCCCGTCCTCCGAAGTCAAAGACCGTCCTGAACTTTTCCACATTGCGAAGAATCTGATGTAGTTTCATGGTAACAAACTATGACAAATATTACATTTCATTTACCAGCACTGAAAAATTCAAACCATGTACATCTTGTACGGCGACAGAATGGCGGTGCAACTCTGTTTACGTACCGACTAGAATCTAAAGACATAATATTGAGTTCCTCTCCACGACTTCCTGCGAGAGCCCCCAACAGGACAAAAAAGGAACTACATAGTCAGAGTATGGGCTGCTTATTTTACAGCTTCAGAAATATATCTGTTTTTATTGCAAAGATGCTTATAATAACTCATAATAGTAAGAAAATTTAACAAATTGCTCAATGATTTAGGCCATCTATTCAACATATTTGTGGGGCTTGTTTTTCAACTTTCATTTTGTTTTATTTCATATTAATCCATTTGAATCTCTAATAATTTCTCAATCTTGACTTTGGCACATTCAATGCCATTTTAAATTATTTTGTGAAGATTGTTAGTTATCCAGGTTGTCTTCAGAACTCAGGAATCCAGTCCACCACATTTACAGTAAATCATTTACTCTTTACAAGACAATAATACTTTACACATTATAATTACAAATTGCAGGAAAATATATGAAAGGCAACACATCAATTTTTAGATTGGAACTTTAATAATAATTTCAGTGTTAAAAATACTGTGTTTTAAAAAATCCTTTTAAGTGTGATTTTTAAGTCATTTTCTTTTTCTTTCTTTCTTTCTTTTTATTAGAGTTTTGAACTGCCCAGGTGTGGTTGACTAACAATGCTGTAGTGAGAGATGAGACGATCTGCTTCCCTCCACCCACTGAGGAGAGCTCCATGGACGGTGGAGAAGTAGCAGGAATGAGTAGCTTCTCCAGCAAAAAGCACCTGCAGAGGCTGAGACACACAAAATGTATATTTGTTAGTTAAGATCCTGTTTGCAAAAACTGCATGCAACCATGGAAACTAATGTACCTGTGACTGTGACCCTTTTACAGGAAGTGGTTCCTGTAAATTTTCTAAATCCTGCTTTGAGCAGCCCTACGGAAAGAGTAAGAACCACAAGTCCAGGGGTCATGGAACCATTGAGAGCGGAGAATTCTCCTTGGGGTGATAATCGGGTTTCCTAAACGCACACATTTTTTTAATATAAAAACCTTAATGGATTTCTCTCACTTAAAAACTTTTAAGTATGCCACACTCACCTGTGAACCTTCTAAGAAGCTGTGTGACAGCTTGTGTCACCTCCTGTTCAGACAGTGTCTCCATATACTCAGACTCATGTCCAGCGATCCACCCGCAGAGAGTGTAACCATATCTGAAGGTTTGACCACAAGAAGGCACTGTGTTCAAATAAGCACCCGTGGTTATGAACAACACAGTGAGCATTACATGAAATGAATAGATAATGACCGTTCAACAGGCTTCAGCGTAGTGAAGCCCATCAACTTCTTGATCCAGGAGCTCTTCAAGTCCGGCACCTGGTCCAACAAGGCTTCCTGAGTCGTGATAGGGGGAAAATTACCAACTGTTGATTGACTGAGAGGGAACTTTAATGAGCAGGACAAAATTGTTAGGCTAAGAGGCTAACATGAACTGGATACTTTGTTCCTTTTAAAATTAAATTCTATAAAAGTACCTGGATAATTTCCCAAGCACAATAAACTCCTTTATTCACCCACAGAGCCCTTTACCTCATCCTCCCACACAAGGTAGATGACATCACAGTCCGCATCCCACCATGGTGAATCAAACTCCACAAAGATTTTATTGTTGGTTCCGAAGCCAAATCTCTGGATGGACTGACTCTTGTGTGAAGGCAGAGGAGGATGGAACAGAGTGGACTGGTGCTGCTTCAGGTATCCTGGCAGGAGATACATGGTGTTGAAGGTTTTACTGTGTTGTTATTTTTTATTATTCATAACAAGTTTAAAAGTTTAAAAAAGTCAAAAAGTTTTAAGTCTAATAATAAGGCAATTTCGATACATATATTTAATTTAAGTCTAAGACTCTACTTTAGATTCACAACGAGTATGTAAATTGTGAGTAAAATGAAACAAGATCATTATATTTTAAACATACTTTTGTGAAATTTGTGGATCCATGGCTCAAAAAGTCAGATAATGTCAATTTCAAATATTTTAAGAAAAGAAAAGGTTTGAAATTAGGTTTAGTTAAAAAATAGGTGATTAAAATTATTTCAAACGTATTCATTTACAAGAGTTGGAAGCGATTCAACACATAACTCCACACTTTTTTTAAATTAGAGCATCTAGAACTAGAACTCTTTGACTTATCTCTGCAGAGTACAAGATTCTGTTACTAATTACCCAAAGGCACTGTGACAATAACATGATCGGCTTGGATTTTCTCCCCATTCTCACACTCAACAACCACTGGACTTGGTCTCTTCTCCGAGTTGCTCCAGTGGATACAGCGCACGGGCCGATTGTACGTCACCACATCACTGGGGAGCTCTGACAACAAGTTCTTTATTAGCCCTTCGTAGCCACTGCACACAACAAGAACAACTATTTAGAAAGATTTAATTCAGTGTGACAAAAACCCCAATAACAATAGACAATTATTATAATAAATATAACTTTAACTTATTACTTATATAGTTATTATTACTACTTTTCATACATGGAAAGTAGCACAAAGTGCTGTACAGATAAAAGGTTAAATGCCCCAAGCTCCACACAGACACAAGCTAAACAAACTGCTTGCTTGCTCACTCACTCAGCCACTCCTTTAGACATAGGAAAGAACAAACAGTAATTTAAAGGTAATTACAATGACTCAGTGTCAGACAAACAATGTTGTTAAACAGTATACCATAAATGTGTTTTTTGTGGCCAGTGTTGTAAAGTAATGTATGTGTTTTAAGACTTTAAGTCTTCAGAGCACAACATCTGAACTATAATCTATGTGACCTGATGGCCATATACAGCCCCGATATTTCTCATAACTGTGTGTCTTATGTGTCTGTCAAGTACCAACCCTGGAAATGTACAGTCACGTCCAGGTAGAGTTTTGTAGAGACCACAAGCCTGCAGTCCAACCTCATCCATGCTGTGAGTCCCATGTATGCAGCACTCAGTTTTAAACATGGTGCTGATGAAGCACAGTAGACGTGATCGCGTACTGGGAGCCACATCTTTCCATTTCTCTGCTGCGTGTTGTTGCACCTTTGTCAGACAAAAGGAAATTTCAATACTTTAAGATATTTCTGAGATTATCTTTGGTATTGTTTTGTAAAATTGTAACCTTTTAACATGACCTAAAGATCTTAATTTTAACAAAAATTAAAGGTGTTGTTGACTTTTAAAAGTTTTTAAGGTGAATAAATAAAGTACCTTTGACCGTAAGAATTCTCCCATACTGGGCATCGGTTCCTCTCCTTTATCATTAAACTCTGAGCATTCGTTAAGCAACTGCAGGAACATCTCGAGAACAGGATACATGTCGTCAGGATTCAGCTGCAGACCTGCAAAAGTCACAGCAGTCTTTACTGCACTTGTATTTACCTTGAAGAAAGACAAAGTTGGACATTGTTTTGTTTTTTAAGGCTGACTTCATTAATGAGAAGAACCATGTTCATCATCATCAACACTGAACATTTTCTGAAACAACTTCTACTTATTATTTGTAATATTTCACTAAAGATTTGTTGCAATTGTAGCAGTGCTCAGATGTACTTCGATAAAGCTAACATATTGGTGTTACCTGAACTGGTAAAGAATGTTGAAACCTCTGGCACGTATCCTTTGAAGTCCTTGGTTTGGTTTTCTGGCAGGAGAGCTTCTGGCTCCAGAAGTCCGTAATTTTCTGACAGGCAAAAGACGGGGTTCTCCTTACACGGCCCATGGATCCAGTTTGCTCCCATTTCTACAATATTATCACCTAAAAATGGATGTAAAACCATGGTCATATTTACCTTCTTGTTCAATTTAGATAGATGCTCTAAACATAGAACGCATTATTGTTGTTGTGTCAAAGCTTAATAAACTATTTCATATACAAAGTACGACAAAACGCAGTTCTCGTTTTTGTTCCCGGCTGTTAAGCATCACAGACGAGCGGGTCAGAAGAGTAACTTCACCTTTGTGTGAATTCACAGTTTTATGAACATCATTAAAACAATCGTTAGAGCTGCTGTGCCACTTAAACCGAAACCGGTGCCGGTTAACTTCTGGACTACATACTGACCCTGACGACCCCCCATACTCACCTAATCGTCCTGTTTTGATTCTACCGCCGCTTCTCGCTGTCGCTTCAATGATTTTAACATGTCGAAATCCATCTTTAATCAGTCTGTGTGCCGCTGCTATACCTGCAATCCCGCTTCCTACTATAAGTATCTTTTTTATGGCATTACTTGTAGTCATTGTGGACACAACCGCACTCTTCATCGCACTGACCCCTTTTATATGTGATCACCGCTAAACAAATACATAACAGTGACTTCCGGAAAAAAAATGAGGTGCCACTGTCAACACGTTTGAAAGGTTTCCGGTTTCAGACAATATAACGTAATAAACATTAAAGTAATTTAAGACAATACGACTGCAGGGGCTGAGAAAAAACCATAGAGTTAGGCCGTTATCACATTTAATTTTTTTAATTTAGCAGTTTTGAGGACAATACACAAACGCTCATGAATGTTTGTTTATTTGTGACTCTAATCCTTTCATTGGCTGGGGCTCCTGTATATTCTCCTGGTCCTGTGGGGAACATCCTATTGCTGAGTAACTAAGACATCACGTGTCACTAAACAGGATATTTTATTTTGAAAGTGGGACCTATGCAATACATAGTTTGGCCAGCAGTGAGCACTGCAGCACAGACTGCATATAAGACAATACTTATGTACTGCAAAACAGATTTAAGAGAAATGTGGAAAAGGTGACCTTTTAGTTTTACACTGTCTATTCATTAGTTCAAACTAAGACATAATATAATGAAGACCCCAAGGTGGAGAAAAAGGAGCCTTGCCTGTGAATTTGAGGATGAGTCTAACGTTTCCTAGGTCTGTCCTGAAAGTGTCTCCATGTATTCTGCCTCATTCCCAGGAATCCAGCTGCACAGAATGTGGCTAATCTTGAGGAGGCCATGTTTAACTCTTGGGGGACTCATTTTCATTACATTTATGTGTAATTTTCAGGTAATACCCATGTATCTGTCAGAAGGTGAGAGCACATTAAAAGTTGCAAGCTTCCTGAACCTCACCCTGGGGACACGAAGACAAAAGTGTGACTGATTAGTTAACATTTTAATAGTTGGCTCCAAGGTATAGATGATATTTCTAATCAATTCAACACTAATAGAGATTGTAGAGATAAGAAAAAAAAAAAGCCGTACTCTGCTGATCACAAGTTCAGAAACTGTCAGTCAGTCAGTAATTTTATAAGAAAAAAAAAAGCCGTACTCTGCTGATCATAAACTACAGACCTCATCTTTCCACTGTAGGTGAAAGGCCTCACAATTAGGATGCTATCCCACACTCTGCTACGACCACGATTGGCTCTACACCCAGCACCATAGTTGTTAAAAACCAACAGTAGACAGTAGATGTAACACACCCTCCCTTGTGGACATAATGCACCCTTCCTTTTTTGTTCAAATCCCCACCCACCTCCAGAAAAACAAACAAAACTTCTTCTTTTCCTTTCGGCGTGTCCCTTTTTTCAGGGGTTGTCACAGAGAATCAACAAACAAACAAAACATTATTATTCAAATATGTCTCTTCTTCTCAGGTAAACCTGTTTGACCGCCCCACCTGAATTCTAATGTTACTTATTCAGTCTTTTCTCAGGTTTATGTGTGAGTAATATGTGTTTAGTGCGATTTACAGTTTTATTTTATCTCAAGCAATATTCTTTTCTTTAAATATGTATTGTTCAGTCTGTGCACCTGATAATGAAGCTGTACCTCTGAAGGTTCAAAATAATATTTAACGCAACATGAAACTGACAGCAGCATGTAATAAACTGAGGGAGATTGGCATCATACTCCAACAGTCACACACAACAGTGTTACACCTCGTGGAACTGTGGGAAAGAGGAAGAGCCTTCCTCTCTCAGGACGCCACCATTGTGTAACGCTGATAATCTCTCCCTTTCACACACACACACACACACACCAAATTTGCCATGTGGGTTTCTCTGTTTGCTTGTTCATGTCTACAATGCACTGACATATTATTTGGGGAAATGAAAAAAAAATATATTGTTGCCTGACAGAAAACCTGAAAAACGTCACAATATAATCCTTATTGGTAACTGTGAGCACTTGACCACCTGTGGTTGACTGGACTTTATGGCTCTGTCCACTTCCCTTGTGATAACCCCCCACTCAGCAACAAAAGGGTCTTCCAACACTGCTGAATCATGGAACAAGAGTGCCCCATAGTGGCGACCGCAGGCATCACATGATACAAGAACAATAATATGATTGGCCACAAGAGGCCTAGCCTCTCTCTTCCATTGCCCTACAAGATTTAAACACACACCCGGGAAGTCGAAAACCACTCCCCCCACACAGGTATATAAGCATAAACAACTAACGATACTTCAGAAGTTATTCTTGAGAAGTTATTCTTGAGGATTTGTGTATTAACTACTGTTGTACGAGATTTCCTTGAATACTTCTCCAGTCGTTTATTTTTGCTTTATTGTTGGACCTGTTTTGTTTGACGTTTGTTATTAAAACAAATCGACCATCTACCGGCTGCTTCCACTCCTTGCCTGAAGACACCTCGCACAGCAAGAATCTTTCAAACTGTATATCAAAATATGCAGAAAAGTCACTGAGTCTTTACTTTCAAGACAGTTTTTACACTGATAATTAATATGCTTTTAATTTTGTATGTTTTTGTATGTTGTATATTACATTATTTTCCTCTTGCACAGTAAAAGCAGTAGATTTGCTGATATAGCAATTTGTACTATTTGATTTTTTCACTGTTTAACAGGACTAAACAGTAAAAACAGACAAAAGCTTTTGGCAGGAACACACTGATGTTGAACACACAATGATTTCCTGTCATTCAGTGAAAACAGACCTGGGATTAATATGCTGTGGAGAGACTTCTGAGTGTCTTATGAATATAATACAATATTAATAATAACAACTTTATATTTAAATTTAACTTAAGTTCAAGTCCATGAAGAAGACCATCAAATATGAAGGATTTTGAGAGATTTTCCAAATGTGACCAGACTAATTAAACGAATTATTATTCTTAGAAATATATGTGGAAAGACTTTCTCATCTCTTTCAGTTTGTTGTCAAATACATCATCCCAGTGAAGGTCTCCGTTTCACATACAAAACACAAAAACATGCACACTACTCATGGGAACCAGCTGGCACTGAGGGTCACAAGAACAATGTTTGTCTCAGCTTCACATGGTCACTGTGGAAGTGCAGGAAATAATTAAGGTTGTTGTTATATTTGGGGGAAGGACGAAGGTTTGATCTTTGTTGTTGGCATGGATCCCACACAGTACTTCAAATCTTATTTATTAGATAAGAAAGGTCAGAAATAAAACAATGCACTTGGTATAAATAACTATGTTTTCAAAGCATGTGTCTACAAAAGGTAAAAACAGTGAGTCAGGTTTATCAAAAACAGTCGTACAGTGACTTCAATAACATTTACAAAAGTGTACATTTGTAAGTCTAAGTGTAGATTGGGCTGTGTATGTAGTACACACACACACACACACACACACATACATACATTAAACCATGTCGCTGGCGTGACCTTTGTCTTCAAGTTGGTGAAGGATCATAGACTTCAGAGCACTGTATCTGGAAAGGTGGAAATCAAACACACACACACGAAATACCAACGATTAAAAAAACAAACTAAGAATTAACATCTTACTCCATATTTACATTTCATACTTGCATGCAAAAGGGCACAGAAATTAAGTGAATCAATTCATTTGTAACACTTCCTCCTGCATTTGTGTTGTGCCGCACTGACGTCTATTTCTATTATCTCGTAAACATAAGGTCAGCAAGGGCCGTCATGTAAGAGTTGAGCGCTGGGGCCTCGGTCATATGAGTAATACGATTAATCGCTTGTAAACAAGCGGTCATGAATGACAAAACAGTCAGACGAACACAGTCAGCATTGAAGAGCAGAGGTCGTGCTTCAGTTACTCAATCCCAGTGGGAGACACAAATAATGGAGCAGACAGAGCGTTGAAAGACTGCTCTGTCATGAATGGAACTACTCTCCAGACACTGGACTTACTTTTTGGTCAGTTTGTTTATCTCGCGCTCCTCCTCCTCTTTAAGCTTTTCCACGAAGCTGTCTAAGACAGGGATCTCAAACTTAATGTACTGGGCCACCTGGGAAAAAAAAACACACGGACACTTATAGAATCTACCAAGATAATTGGAATAATGTTTTAAAAAAAGCTAAAAAAGTCTATTAATAACATGGGTTAATAAAAGAAAGTGTATATATATTTTTAAACTCGAACATAGGATTTTATATTATTGCTATGTAACAACAAAATTATAAATTTAATCCAAGAATTGGTCAACAGAAATAATAATAAACAACAAGTTGTGTTTTTATTACTATAAGTGCTTTCACACCACTCAACTTCTTATCTTATACTATTGTTACACTTGTCCCCAAACAGGATATCTTTATTTGGCATCACTATACTTAACCCAGATGTCGATCGCCATTGTATCCTTCTAAGTCTCAAGGTCTATGTTGCAGACATGAAAAAGAGGCCACTTATCCTGACCTGAAAAAGAAAGTAGCGACAGAGAACTTAGACTCACATCATATGTCACTTCCTCTCCCAGGTCAGTCTCTGTGATGAAGAGCTTGGAGATTTTCTCACAGGGTCCATACAGCACTCGGGCCACCAGTGGGTATTCACCTTCCCTCAGACAAGTCCTCTCTGAGAGACAAGTGTCCACAAATGTAGATGTTGACAAAATCACAACGACTGAAGCGACAGAAAAACAGTGACATTGTTAACTCACCACCAGACTCATGGACCATGTAAAGGACAAACTCCTCGCTCTTGTTTTCCACCCTGAACTTGTGCAGCAGCAGGTTGAGGACTTGTCTCGTCGTCATTGAGCTGTTTACTCGTACGTTAGTGACTGAGCCGTAGGCCGGAGTAAACACAGATGTCTGCAGGGAAGATAGCCAAATTTGTTACCAAAAAATAGTAACAAAAGTGAAAAGTTTATTGGAGTTTATTGGATTTGTTCTCATTTTCCCAGTGGCAAAAAGACTTGGGCCAAAAGGATTTAAAAATAATAATAAGAAGAAAGGAATTTCTGGCTGCATAAAGCCCTGTGCCACAGGGGCTGGGCTAACTTGACTTGATTGTGGAAACATCTTGCATGGATCACTAATTTCTGTACAGGAACACTTTGGAACGGGAATTCTAATGGAGAAAGGAAATCCCTCACTCTGCAGCTGGAATCCGTTCAATAACAGCAACACACAGACACAAATGTCTGCACAACGACGCTCACATTTGGGAGAAACTGATGAAGGAACTCATGTTAACCTTGTGTTCTGTGTCAAAGAAACGAAACGTACCCGCAGGAGGCTATTGTGAAGTACCGTACAGTCACACCCACACAGGAAACCACATCCCTCTGCACCTGGACTTGTGTTAACAAAGGGATACATTACTGTCATGTTTTTGTTTTATGGCACCTTGTGGTTGTAGAAGTGTCCGTTGATGGAGAACCGTTGTGTACGCAGACGCTGCAGGTCCCTGGCAGTGTGTGTCTTTGGCCTTCTCTGGACACGCATGAAGGAAGCGTCACTTCTGGTCCTCAGCAGCTGAGGAGACTCGTCCTCCTCCTGACAACCCATGGCACCGCCTGGGGAAGGGACTGACACACAAACACACTCCTCTGACAACAGGCTCAACCACAAGTGTCTCTTTTCATACACAGTCACATGTACTGTAAAAACATCAGACATGATTTTTTTAGAAATCATTTTGAAAAATAAGTCTTCACAGCATGTGCTAAGGAGGAGTTTGTCAGTTTTATCAACTTAATTGTTGTTTGTTTAATTTATAAATCTTCTATGACGCTTGGTCCATGGCTTGCAGCAAATGTTGGAGCCCAAACAAACTGACGTTGAAGACATAGGTCACTGTAGGCAGTCCGTTTTAGGACAGATTAAACCTCCATTATTTTTCATGCTAATTTCATTATAAAGTTTTTGTTCGATCAAATCAACCCTGGACTGAAACAGAAGAACTAATTCCATATCAAGACTGGTTTAAGCTGTTTCCTGTAAACATGACTCACAGAATAAAGAAAACTCTGTGTGGGTTTTATTATATGGTGGTCTTTTGGGGATTTTTTCACAGTTTGAAAAAACATTTCAGAGAAAAGTGTTGTGTGTCTCTCATACAGTATGTGTATTGATAAATGAGGCACAAAGTCTGTATCTCACTAACACTAGTCCACGAAATTCCAAGTATCAATGAATCCAAGGTAAATGAGACTCCTGTATTAGCGCTAATGTCTCTGTTTGGTGCTTTTACATATGTAAAGGGTTAGAATAATAAATTGGTGGAATGTATTTTAAGAACTAGCGCGTCATACAAACCGTTTTTTTTAAAGGGCTAATGTTAGCTTCTCGGAAACTAACATTGTTTGGCATATTGCACTACGATGCTTACTACAACAGAATCCAGTTTAAGTCGATTATTTAGAAAATAAAATAGTTCTTCAAGGGATTTTAATGCAGGTAAAAACAACCTTAAAAAATGAATAGTGAGGGATTTGACAATAACTTTGATTCTTTCCCCCGGTGACAGACTTCACCGCACACTTCTGTAGCTACTGAGCCATACTGTGAACAAGCTATTTTTTTTGTCTAATTAATAGTTGATGTCCTGATGTTGACGTCCTCTCAGCATCATCTGAACCTCACGCTTGAAATAGCACTTTGGACTCTGATCTACTTAAAGAGGTGCAATTAATCCACAATAACCCAACAGAGGTGTGTGTGTGAGAGAGTGTGTGATACAGTGACTGCATGTCCATCATTCTAACTCACCAGCTGGTTCAGTTTCTCTGTCCAGAGAATTGTTGTTGGATGCCGATAATGTTACAGCAAATGTATCATTTCTGCAAAAACAAAAAGAATGAGATTTACAGATTAAAAAAAAATCAATCATTTGTTTTAAAGTCTACCATTTATTTGATCTAAACCATTGAGTCATTTAACAACGTTGTAAGATTTTTCCGTGATATTTATATGAATGTTGTTAATTTGAAGTCACCATAAAATATAAACTGTGATGATCAATCAGGGGTGAGTCTGCTTTTCAAAGATCATAATACTATTACTATATTATATATAAAATATTATTATTATTATTAAGTATTTGGTTTGTCTTCTCTCTTTAAAACCAGTTCTTGCAGTATTTGGTTCGTCTTCTCTCTTTAAAACCAGTTCTTGCAACTCCCAGGATGTTCACTTGTTTATAAATTAGTAGAGCTCTACTAAGAGTGAAGTCGACTTTTCTCAGGTTGTCTACTGTATCCAGGTTGTTTATGTAAAAGAACCTGATCCTGCCCTTCTACCTGCCTTTGTTCCGTTCAGTTCACATATCACACACGTGCTGCTCATGTGAAAGGGTGTCGTCTCTGGGTGTAGTCGGGGTGTAGTCAGAATTGGTTTGGATTTGAAGTAACCTTACCTGTGTGGCGGGTGTGTTTTTTTAGGCCAATAATTCACAAGGGAGTCAGCAGTGGACACAGCAGTTTTACCTGTTCAGACGGAATCTTTCGTTGTCATCGTGCATCTGGAGTCTGATTGGTCGACGTAGACCCCAGTAGATGTTCAGCAATCCCTCGAGGACGAGCTCCCCATCCTCCTGGACGTACACACAGAAACACACCCACATGTAACAATAATCACCAGCGGTCGCAGTCAGAGGGGATATCCTGTTGGCCAGCAGCTACAGTGGCTCAATGTCAGGTGTACGTGCAGAAGAGTTTGTTCACAGCCACAGGGCGACCCCCCCTATCATCTCAGAGAAAAGCTGAGATGTCTGACCCTCCCCTGTCTACACTGTACATGGGTGAAGTCACGTCTGAGGATGCAGCGAAAATGAATGAACACAGCCAAGTCTGCCTTGGGTCACGTAGTCAACAGGGAAGTGATTCAGTTGTATAAAAAATTACAAAAATTACATCTTGAACCAAAACGATAAGTCTTTAGGCAGAGGTCAAACGGTCAACCAGGCCTGATGTTGATATGTGCTTATACACAGAGTCATAAATCAGATTCAACTACACCACCACATCAAACCCCTCTTTTGTTTCAACTCAGTTATATCATCTCTACTTCTAATGAAATATCACATGCTGGTCATCGCAACATCTGATGAATGACTCCATGAATTGATTTGTCACAGATTTTAAACATCAGACTGATACGGATAGTATCCTCAGAAGTCTGGCCAAACTGCCAGCTGAGAGCCTGTGGTTACCCTGAAGCTGTGAAGCTAAGAAATTAGAAACAAACAAAAAAAATCAACAAGTAGCAAGAATGCTATAAAAAAAACATCAATGGATAATGAATGTATTGACAATCCACAAGTCTTTTAACTTAATCTGGGCTGATAACAATTGGTACACTAGGTGTATGAAAAAATAGAATGAGGCAATATAAAAATTGTTATAAACAAGAAGTTTATAATAATACAATAATATTTATATATAATATATAATAATAATAATAATAATATAGGAACCACTGTTAGTTAAGAGGTGAAATTACTATGCATTATGAAGCTGGAGTAGGAAAACAACATGTGCTTGATGTTTACAGGAAGTGCAAGATGTGAGATGTCATATGATACAGAAGCAGCCAAACAAACATAAGTGTTTGGTTTTGTCAATCACCAAATGACTGTATTTCAGTGGTAATTACCTTAATGCCCCCTGGCCAATCTGACTGCCACTTTTGCTGGAAAAGTATGTTTACTCGAAATCCTCCTTTCATCTAAATCTCAGTGGTAATTTTATCACCACCACATAATCTACTGTGCAAAAAAATTAGGAATTATATTTGTGTTCTTACAGCAGGGTATTTATGTCTTGTGTTAAAATTGATTAAATAAACGAAAATATTCTGTGATGAAAATGAGAAAGGTTGGACTTTGGAGGTGGGACTAAATGTTCCCAGGGCTTCATTGTTTCTGTAATCTAAACATACAGAGCAGCTGTAACAGTGACCTCTGCTACTCTGCCACTACTCAACTTCCTGAACAGTCATGAACACGCCCTCCGCCTCCCTGCTCCCTCCCTCCCTCTCTCTCTCACACGTACAGATACACACACAGTTGCAGAAGGGTGAGCTATTTTTGGACAACCTGGTTAATCGCTCTGCTTCGCTGCACCTCTATAAAGCCTGCACGTCGACTGAGGTCCAGTCAGACTTCACCAAGTGGACCAGTCACTACTTTGTTTTACTCTGTGCGTCAGACACACATCTGAGACATCATAGGTGAGTATTTCTATTAAAATTCTTTCTGGTTGAATGGTGTGAAGGAACTGTAGAACCTTTACTTATTTTTCACTATACAAAATTGTATTTTGATTTCGACTAAGCACTAGATTTTTTTGTAGCACAAACTTTCGAAAGGATTTGAATTAAAGCAGTATTTGGCAGCTGAAAGAGTGGAATTGCTGTTTTCTCCCTTCCAAGAATCAACAGTCTCATTGTTTTTCTTTTCTCTCACTGTAGCATGAAACATAGACGGCTGCTACTTTCCCTGCCTCTCCTACCAACCATCACTGAGATACTGGAGGACTTGCCTGTCCATCCTTCATCCTCCCAGTGTACACAGAGCTCACAGACTCTGGAGGACTACATGAGCAGCATCCAGGCTCTCGCCTGCCCAGTGGAGGCGCCGAGCTGCGGCCCCGTCAGACTCCAGAGGTCCCCCAGGACGCGGCTCTTCTCAAAGGCTCAGATGAAGCTGTCTGTCTCAACATCACTCCCTCGCGGTTCTCCCCGCGCACTAAGGACTTCCAGACCCTCCAGTCTGAGTCTGAACAACACAGAAGAGTTTTCTCTTAGGACGAGAATGGAGCGGGACTGTAAGGGCAAAGACCCCGTGGACTGGCTGTTTGGACAAATAAGGACTTGAGGAGACACCATGTTGTTATTGTTCCTCCGTCCTGTTTGAGTTGTAAACAAACGGGTCTGACGGCTGCTGTGCAGGTCATCAGGACTAAAAGTCTGACAAGGACCCTAATATAATATTCAAATGTTGACAATGACACCGATGCTTGAATAAGGAGAATAGTTCTTTATTTATATGCACTCAGGGCTCAGGTCTACGTGTTTACATTGTTTAATATTTTTTTATTGTGTTTTTTCAAGCTGTGGCAAATGTCAAGTAAACAACTGAAATATGATTCTTACTTGCCTTTTTTTTGTTTTTGGTGTTTTAAACTAGAATCTGAAAGTATAAAAAATTCTGAATGTCCATAACCATGTCACAACTACACATAGTTCATTTCAGTTTAAATAATTGAAATACAGGTGTATAAAGACAGCGTTAAAGAGTAACTATGATTTAATTACAAACTTAATAATATTTATAACAAGATTTGTAATAATAATAATAATAATAATAATAATAATAATAATAATATAAAACAGCTTTCGCCATGAAATGTATTAGTTTACCTAAATTTTACCAGTATACTTTAGACATACGCGGAATCCGTTTAATGTTTAATAAATAGGGATACTGACATCTAGTGGTGACTAAATGTTAGAACGGCGTTGTTTTTTTTCCCTGCTGAATTTCTGAGTTCTGCCACTAGAGGCCGGTGCAGGT